AGGCGCCTTGAACTCATGACAGTCCTGCCTCAGCTTCCCAAGTGCTGGGATTACAGGTGTGCACCACCACATCTGGCAAGGTATATATACACATAGATACATATATATGTATAAACACTTATATGTATATGGATTTCCATGATATTTGAATATATGGAAAATTATTAGATCAGAAGAAAGGAAGTACTAATATATGTTTTATACATATAAGATTAAACCATTAAGTGAAAAAAGTCACATGATCACATACATTGTGTGAGTCTGTTAATATAAAATATCCCAAATAAGCAACCTGTACAAATAGAAAGTAGAAGGCCAGGGGTGGTGGTGCATCCTGTAATCCCAGCACTTAGGAGGCTGAGGCAGAAAGATCTCTGTGAGTTCCAGGTCAGCCTGGTCTACAGAGCAAGACCCTGTCTCAAAGCAAAACAACACACACACACACAAAAAAAAAAACCCCACAAAAAGTAGATTAATGATGGCCTAGATTTAAGAGATTAGGGGAAGTGAGAAACGACTGCTAATTGGATTGGGTATTGGGTTTTCTTATTGGGGTTATGAAAATGGACAGCAGTGATGACTGCCCAGGTGTGAACACAGGAAAAAGCACTGAGCTCTCCAACGTACAGGCATGAATTTTACATTTTTGTGGTATTTTTTTAGATGGTCTCTCTAGGTAGTCAGGCTGGCCTTAAACTCACTGCGTAGCCAGGCAGGCCTCAAACTCGAGGCATCCTCATGCCTCAGCCTTCTGAGTGCTGGGATTATAGGCATGTGCTCCACACCCAGCTGTAAATGATATTTTAATCTGTAATGAACAGAATTATTAATCTGTAATGAACAGAATTGTAAATCTCTAAATTAGGTTTGGCTAGAAGCATGTTCCAAGATAATACATTATGGAGGAGAAAGATTTGGTCACAAATGTGCTTTTCATAATAGAGGTTTTTTATTTTTAGGTTCAAATGCTATAAATAAGATTTGCTCATTGGGAGGTGATGAAAAACATAATTTCAGGACCAAAAACATACTACTTTTCATATAAAACTATATTCAATGAAGATTCTAGTGAGTAAACAAATAGTGTCACTATCAAAGGACTACACAGTTCCTTATTTACACAGCAATCTGTCACACCAATTCAAAAATTACAGTTTGAGAAACTCAAGAGATTAAACTGTTAAAACAACTGTAGACATTTTTCTACCTGCCTACTTATTATTCCTAGAAGTCCAAAGCCTTCATGGTTTTACTGGATAAAATTTAGACTCTGCATCATGATTATTAGGAAGCTGAAGCAAGAGGATTGCTATGATTTCAGTTAAGGGCAGTATTGGTTACATAGAGAGTTCAAGGCCAGTCTAAACTACATAGGAGTCCCTGTAGGAAAAAAATCCAGATGTGGTGATGCACACCTGTAATCCCGGCACTTGGAAGGCTAAGACAAAAGGAAAGATTGCTTGAGGTCAAGGCCAGCCTGCGCCATGTATCAAGGTCCTGTCCGGAAAAAAAGTTTGACTCACACTCATAAGGGGCATTATACA